AGAGCGAGAAGAGTCTAAGACTAACTGGTATTCAAGGCTAGGATAGGTTTAATGAGTTAATGGGTAGACCAATGAGGGTAGAGCAATTTGATATCATCAATAACTTTTTATTAAACATATAGTAATTTTGTGTGTTATTTTTCAGAAAAATGGCAGAAAGAGACTTCCAATGTTACAATATCTGGAACAGAAACAGACGCCATAATATCTGGCCTTAAGCCGGCCAGTGTTTACAACCTTCGAGTACTAGCTAAAAACGGACTGGGTATTAGTGACCCGAGCACGGATGTAGAAGCCAAGACCGAAGAAGAAGGTAGCACCTTTCTGGAACAATAATACTTCTTTTAATTTAAGTTCCCAAAGTATTGTTTGTTTGTTTTTAATTTCGCGTAAAGCTACACGAGGGATATCTGCGCTAGCCGTCCCTAATTTATCAGTGTAAGACTAGAGGGAAGGCAGCTAGTCATCACCAACTCTTGGGCTACTCTTTTACCAACGAATAGTGGGATTGACCGTCACATTATAACGAGCATGTTTGGTGTGACGGGGATTCGAGCCCGCGACCCGCAGATTGTGAGTCGAGCGCTCTAACCGGGCCGTTTCCAAAGTAAACAATATTGAATATACTAGATTATTAATAAGATTTTAATTTATTAAAACTGTCTTTAAATCATAAAAAAACATCAAATAAATTAGAAACATAAAGCCTAGCCATTTTAGTGATTAGTTAGGAATCTGACCCTTTAACAGATTAATTTGGAGAATTAAACTTAATTGTTGGGATTTTATGGCGTAAAGCACCAGGGCTATCTGCACCAAAATATTGGTGAATTTCTCTTGGGAAGTTTGGTCTAAGCGTGAAAACGAATGAATATTTTTGTCGCTGGAATTGGAATGCCAGCCGCGCACATCCTTAGCAATGGTGAGGAGTCTCAACACGTTGACGGCCTTAATGACCCTGGCAGTCGATAGGCCTAAAGCCCAAATAATTAACTGGTAGCATTACAAATCGGCCTAATGAACCAGTTAGGTCGATGATCTAAAAATACCTACCCCTTAAATAAAAAACCTGGTAGCACATCCGTACATTGCTTTCATAGTGGTGCACATAAAAAATTCAATCCGCACATGGATTGAAAACATTAGAGGGAACATTAATCTCTACATTTCTTTCTAAAAGTATATTTCTAAAATGACAAAAAATGAACTACGACTAACTTAAAATGTTAAATAACTGCATTCAGTTAATGACCCATCTTATAAGACTTACTTAAAACTTAAATAGCGTATTACTTTTTGAGATGTTGATAACATAATTTATTATATTATATCAGTTAGAGCTGTAGAAACATGAATAAATAACTGATCTGTAAAACAGCTCACCCACTGCTTTATTTTTTGAACTGTAAGACAATACAACTTGTCAACTGATGTGAAATTTTAATAAATTTCAGCACCAGAGGGCCCTCCAATGAAAGTCCGTGGTGAAGCAACGAGCTCGAAGTCTTTGAAGATTACATGGAAGGTAAGTAAAAAGCATATTTTTATTTGAGAATTATGTTCACGTGTAATTAAATCTCTGGGAAATAAAAGATAAACACCACCAAAAATTTAAGAAATTATTGCAGGTCATTAAAATGAAATTAAACAATTCATTTCTGATTGCTTCAAGCAAAAAGTAAGACAAAAAAGTGTTGACCATTTGAAATAAAGAATTCTAGAAACGTCAGCATATACAACTTAAAACAACCTAGATAACTCAGTATAGATCTTACATAATGTAAAAGCTTGGTAAAGGTCACTCAAAATAAAATATCAATACAATTTAAACGCAGATCTATAAAAATGTTGTTGTTTGTTGTTAAGCACAAAGCTACACAATGAACCATCTGTGCTCTGCCCACCACGGGTATCAAAACCTGGTTTCTAGCGTTGTAAGTCCGCAGACATACCGCTATGCCACTGGGGAGCCTATTAAAATGAGTTGGCATCTAACCAAGAATATGAAATAGTGTGAGTTAACAGTGTTGTCAAAACTATTAAATATATAAACACTCAGTTCATTAGAACGATGTATTCTACCAATATACTGCATACTTATGATATGAATCTATCGATATTGCCCCCCCCCAGTAGCACAGCGGTATATCTGCGGATTTACAACGCTAGAATCCGGGTTTCGATATCCGTGGTGGGCAGAGCACAGATAGCCCATTGTGTAGCTTTGTGCTTAACTTCAAACAAACAAACAAACTATCGATATTTTCCTATAAAAATATGATTTCCTAAATTTCTAGAAATAATACTTTTTTTTAAAGTAGCTTTTAATTTACTACTACAAAGTAGTCACTACTTAACAAATAATTTTGATATGCAAGTAAATGTTAAGTGTGCTTAGAACTTAGAACTGCTGATTTAAAAACAAAAGATACATGATGTATTCCAACAGCCACCCAATCAGAAATTACAGCACGGTATCCTGTTAGGCTACTATGTAGGTTACAAGAAAGCGTCTTCGTCAGATGGGTATGTGTACAAATCTTTGGAAATCCAGCCAGGTTTTAAAGAAGAGTGTCATCTGAGCGGACTAAGCCGGTTCACCAAATATAACATTATAGTGCAGGCACATAACAGCAAAGGATCTGGTCCTCCTTCGGAAGAATTGCTGTTACAAACTTTAGAAAGTGGTAAGTTAAGCAATTCCATTTTTCCACATCGCGATACAGACATGAAGAAGCGAAAGAATGGAACTACTTTCTTTAGAGGAATTGTTGTAACAAGCTTTAGAATGTGAAACTCCATAATTTCACATCGCATTACAGGACCATAACAGCAAGTGGAACGGAACTTCTTTCGGATGAATTCTTTCTACAAATTTTAGAAATCTAAAAGAAGTAGTTTTATATTTCCATTTTGTATTTTAGACATATATCAACAAAAAACATACCCCCTCCTTTCTACCTTCGGAAAATTTCTTGTTACAAATGTTTAGATAGTATAATACTTTAAAATGCGTTTAATTAAATGTTAAGATATAATCACGTCATAGAAAAAAAAAACAGGTAAGTGTGTTGATTCAATTTGTTTAACGATAAGAATCTCAAATTTATAACACAAATGTAAAGAATATAGCCACCAATTTCTCACTCCCTGAAGATTATCCTAAAATTAATTTCATTTTTTTTTATCACAGATCCACCGATCACACCACAACTAAGAGTTGCGACAAGTACATCCAGTTCTATTACGTTAACTTGGAACCCAGTTGCTCCTGATGGAAACCCAATCACGGGTATGTTTCACGTGTTCAGTTTTTGATATTCAAGAAAATTCCCTTAACATAATAAGCCATTTGTACCTGTGGATCACACATAATACTTCAATACAGTACAAATACAAAATTATCAGCAATTTTTTTTGTGTTAATGCAGTGGCGTCAAAGCCGTTTTGCCACAGGCGACATATTTAGCATCTATATATTTGGTTCACTGCGTATTCCATACCATTCGACAGTGCAATGCCGCCACAGTAGACTTATGACTGAAGGCTTTTTTCATACAGTGAGATTGTTAAGCGATGTAGAGCCAAAATACAAGAGATTTCAATATTATCCATGGTAGAAAAAAACTTGAGCTGTACATTGTTTAGAACAACAAAGGATACCAAATTTATCTTAAAGTGAAGGCAGTAATTACAAACAAAAAAACTTTCTCATCCAAGATTTTATTTGTAATAAAGTTGGGCATAGCTCCTGATTTCGTTAACAAGAACTTGAAGTTGGCAAAGACTCCCAACTTCCAGCCACTGTCGAAATTAACAACTGTTTTCATCGAAAAGGTGACCGAAAGAAACTGAAGTCGACCAGTCTCATATATCTGTTCCGTCTTTTAGATGCAGCCATAATGACTTTTGGTCTTCTTAAACCTGATCTTGGAATCCGACATCCGTGTGCAGTTGGAGGATTTATAAAACGTTTTTCTAAACGTGTGGTCTAAAACTGATCTATCCATTCTTCACAGTAACCTGTTACAACAGAAACTGCGTTGTCGGTCAGTGGTGCATAATTATGGTCATTCGAATGAGCACGAAGGACAGTGGAGGAATAAGTTCCAAGGCAGCACAGGTCCTGGAACATTGTTATTATAAAGCTCGAATGCTCTCATATATCTTTAAAAAGTATCTATAGACCAGCAGACTGCTTTATTTTATAGTATGCAATCATGTTTCTGTAATATACGTTGTTGATTTTTGCTAGAGTAACACGTATAAAGATTAGGGAACACTGACTACTTTTATTGAAAACGTGCTATAGCAGGCTTTAAAATGTTAAAAGTGAGAACATTAAAAAATCTGTTGCTTCAAAATTTGAAATACCATAAAATATAATTTCCAGGTTGTGGAAAAAATACAACACAGTGTCGGTATATTTGAAAAGCAACTC